GGGCCCCAGCGGCCAGGCCGGCTCGAGGGCAGGGACACCGGCAGCTCCTTCCCTCACGGGGGCTTGCGAGGTTCCCCGGGCTGGGATGGAACTTGCAAGCCTCCTGCCTCAGCCTCCTAACTGGCTGTGATTACAGGCACACTGCCACGCCTGGCTTGGAACTGTTCCACCGTCTTGCTCTGAGAGAGGCAGGCTTTCGTTCTCTAGTCCAGGCTAGCATGGGGACCAGCCTGAGCTGCAAAGTGAGCTCAACGGCATTTCTTTTTTTGTCTTTTTGAGACAGGGTCTCGCTATGCAGTTCAGGCTGGCCTTGAGCTCACTTTGTAGCCCAGGCTGGTCTCAAACTCACAACCATCCTCCTGCCTCAGCCTCCCAAGTGCTGGGATGACAGGCATGCACCACCACACCTGGCTGGGATGCACTTTTTTTTTTTTTTTAAAATCATCCTCTTTTGTTTATTTATGTGTTTCATCTCACTATGGATTCCAGCTTGGCCTTAATCTCTTGGAAACTCTCGTGCCTCAGCCTCCTGAGTCTAACAGCAGTGTCCTCGTGAGAGACAGAAGAGAGGACGCAGATACAGAGGAGATGGAGGCACAGACTAGCATGATGGGGCCACAGCCCACGGCCACCTGGAGCCCTGGGAGGAGGCAGAGGCAGGAGGCTCTCCCCTGGAGGCTGTGGAATGGCCGGGGACACCTCGGCTCTGCAGAGGGCTCCGGGGTTCAAGCCCCGCCCCGGGGTCCCCGCCTGCTCACCGAATGGGCCACGTCCTCCAGCGTGGCGGCGAAGGACTGGATGAGGCCGTGCGGCAGCTGGGACAGGAAGCCGATGGTGTCCACGTAGAGCACGGGCAGGCGGGAGGGCAGCTGGCCCTCGTGGGCCGTGACGTCCAGCGTGGCGAACAGCTGGTCCCGGGGCTGCGCGGCTGTGTCGCCCGTCAGGGCCCGGATCAGCGTGGTCTTCCCTGTGGGACGGGCACAAGTCAGGCCTGGGGCCCAGGGGTGGACGGGGGACGGGGTAGGTCAGCGCCAACTGTGGCCGCGTCCTCACCGCAGTTGGTGTAGCCCACCACGGACACGGCCGGGAACTCGCGCTGCGCCCGCCGGCTCCGCAGCAGCCTGCGCTGTCCCCGAAGCCGCTCCAGCGCCCGGCGGATCTTCAGCTCCCTGTCCCTGAGCAGTCGCTGCTGCAGCTGCAGGAAGGATTCGCCTGCCCGGCGGAGGGGCGCGGTCAGGAGCGTGGACAGACGATGCACGCGCTCACAGATCAGCAAGTCGGTCTCACGGGTGCGCGGGTTACCCACTCTCGGGTCAGTAGGCCCGGAGCTCCAGGGCTGGACCCGGTATCCATGGGCCAGTGGATTAATCCATTTCTACACTAATCTGCGTAGACTGCTGGATTCGTCCACTTACAAATTAGTGGAGCGACTCACTCATGGGTTAAGGAGCTCACGGTTTACGCTAGGGACTCACAGAACATTGGATTAATCCATTTATACGTTAATCTGTTCACGGATTGCTGGGTTAACCCATTAATGAGTTAGCAGATGAACCCGCTCACGGATCACGAGTTGATCAATTCATGATTAACAGCTCACCCACTCACAGATCAGTGGGCGAGGCCGTTCTTGGATGACTGGATCCATCTACTCACAGACTAATGGGTTAATCAATCATAGAGTAATCTACTCACAAACTGGTGGATTAATCCATTTGTGAATGAGCGAACAAGCTCACTCACGCATGGGTGGGTTAATCGTTTTTTCTGTTTTGTTTTCATCTTTTTGAGACAGGGTCTTGCTATGCAGTTCAGGCTGGCCTTGAGCTCACTTTGTAGCCCAGGATGGTCTCGAACTCGCAACGATCCTCCTGCCTCAGCCTCCCGAGTGCTGGGATGACAGGTGTGCACCACCACGCCCGGCTACATTAATCCATTCACGAATGAGCAAACTAGCTCACTCACACACTGGTGGGTTAATCAATTCACAGATTAATGCGCTCACGCACTTACAGATTAGTGATGTAAGCCATTTATAGATTAGTGGATCCACCTACTCATGGGCTGGTGGATTAATCCATTTATGAATTAGTGGATTAGCCCACGCTTGGAGTACCGGGTTAATCAATTCATAGATTAAGGGGCCCATCCACTCCCAGAGTCGTGGATTAGGCCACTTATCCATCAGTAGGCTCATCTACTCCTGGAAAAGTAGATTAATACATTACAGACCAATTTACTCATAAAGTATTGGATTAATCCATCTTTTTGAGACAGAGTCTTCCTGTGCAGCTTAGGCTGGCCTTGAGCTCACTCTGTAGCCCAGGCTGGTCTTGGACTTGCAACAATCCTCCTGCCTCAGCTTCCTGAGTGCTGGGATGACAGGCGTGTGCCCCCACGCCCCGCTGCATTAATCCATTCATAAATTAGCAAACTAGCTCACTCATGCATCGGTGGGTCAATCAATTCACAAGTCAAGGGGGTCATGCACTCATAGGTTAGTGGACTGGGCCGTTCGTGGGTTAGCAGGTCCGTCTCCTCATGGGCTGGTGGCTTAATTCATTTGCTTACTAACGTATTTACACAGCAGTGGATTAACCCATTCTTGAATCAGCGGATTGGCCCTGTGTTAATGCTTCGTGGACTAGGCAGCCAGTGTACTCAGACGCTCCTGCTTTCACCCAGGCTCCTGAGCTTGCAGCCTCCAGAGGTACAAGTGCAAACCTCCATCCTTAACCGACTGCCCCCCGGGCGGCGTGCGTCACGACAGCGGGACACACCAGGACAAGCACGCCTCCACCTGCTTCCGCGTGGACACGAGGCTGAGCCCCCGGGGGTCACCCAGGGATCTGCTCAGCCCTCCCACCTGAGCTGACCGTGGCCCTCCGGACACCCGGGTCAGCCGCCTCGGGCCACGTGTGCGGGCACACCTTACCTGAGCCCATGATGCACCGGGAGCCTCCGCCCTGCCGGTCCAGGCGAGCGGTGCTGTGTTTCAGGCTGGCCCTGGCATCGACACAGAGGGGACCCCATCAGCGGCCGCACACAGGGATCCCTCCCAGGAAGGGATGGCGAAGCCCAGGGACCCCAGCACTGGGGTGAAGGGACGCTGCGCTGGGGGTCCAGGGAGGAGGGACCACGCGCAGGGGTGGGTCCCTGACGGGAGGGTGGGCTGCCAGGCACCGCCCTCGTCCTCACGCCCAGCAGTGACCACGCGTGCGGGCAGCGTGGGCCCCATGGCCGTGTGACACGCAGGGCCCGGCCAGCGGCCTACCTGAGCACGGGGATCTCAGCCAGCGCCACCTGCAGCCGCGCCTCCTTGGTGCGGGCGTTGCAGCGAAAAATGTGCAGCACGAGGGTGAAGCGGTCGAGCACCTCCACGCCCCAGGCCGCCTCCAGCTCTTTCTGGAAGGGAGACGGTGAGCCCGGAGTCCTCAAGGGGAGCCCGGCCACGGCCGCCGCCCACGGAGGACGAGGGGCTGCGCGGGCCGACGCTGCAGTACCTTGGTGGGGATGGACATACGCTCCACGTTCAGGAACACGGACGTGATTTCTGGAGACGCCCTGATCCGCTCTGGGGGAACACAGGGTCCGTCAGAGCTCACGGCTCCCCAGGCCCGTGAGATGCGAGGTGGGCGCTCTTGGGCTCCCTGACACTGCTCAGGGAAACGGGTGCGGCGGGGCCTGCCTTGAGGGGTGTGGGTCTGACACGCTTGTGCACATACACACTACCGTGGTTGGACCCCAGGTGTCTCCCCCGACCTGGTGGGGTTACGGGATCTCACTGAAAGCTTAGTCCCTGCGGGGAGGCAGTAGAATCCACAAAGTGGCCTAGTGGGAGGAAGTGA